CATAATATTTTTTAAAAATAAATAATCAAATACCAAAATAACTTGCAGTCACAATTATAACATAATATAACCACAGTTAAGCATAGCCACAACACTTCACAACAATTTCAAACGCGCCATTAGTTATATATATATATATATATATATTAAACTTTGAATCTTGCAAATTTTAAAATAACCTCTGGGTGTGATATTCAAATATGGAATCTAAATTCAACATAGGAAATATATTAAAAATGAAATTAAATATCTTTGAAAAAAAAAATCAAATTCCTCCGTGAATTTCTTTCCCAAAGTTAGATATAGAAACCTTTAATTCTAAATATACCATTTAAAAATAAGAATGTAATCAGTGTATAAACTTCCAGTTTTCAAAAATATAAATTTTTTAATTTTTTAATTTTTTAATTTACATTCAATTTTATAATCATAAAAAATTAAGAACGACACATGCCATTGTAAAAAGCTTAGCTTGACACTTGTTTTTAATCAGTCTAAAGTTTTTTATTTTGTAACGTATATTAAAAGATAATAAATAGAGAGATAATCCTTAATATTAAAGACTTATTTCATTTAATAGTTTATTTAAAAAAAAACTAATTTTTGACATGTAGCTTTTTTGATACTAAAATATAAAATCATAATAATCATAATAATAATAATCATAATAATAATAATAATAATAATATTATTATTATTATTATTATTATAAAAGGCCATCAGTCTCCTTGTTTTATCATTTATATCTATTATAAGCGTAATTCGTTTATGTAACTTACAATTAGCTATATTGCCTCTACAAAGGGATTCATATATAATCTTAAATATATTACATTAATAAATTTCTATTTCACTTTCCTATTAAAAAAAAGAAGTGCCATCGAAATTACTATGTTGGCCACGTAAGAAAATAACCATCTTCTTCAATCAAGGGGGTTTTCTTCTCCATCTCTGCCTTTTCTTGTCAAGGAATAATATAGCTTTTGTTTTTTTTTTTTTTTTTAATAATAACCATCTTCTTCAATCAAGGGGGTTTTCTTCTCCATCTCTGCCTTTTCTTGTCAAGGAATAATATAGCTTTTGTTTTTTTTTTTTTTTTTTAATAATATAGATATTTTTGTCTTAGGAAAAAAATGAAGTTAATTTTTACCTAATCATAAATGTCACATGATAGTTTTTTTATTGATCATTTTAAATTATAAATCACAATGTTTTCTTTCACTTTTTTTCAAGACAAAAAGATAATAAACTATCAGAAGGGCAAAGAGCCTAACAGTGTGGACATTGTCCCTTCAGAGAAGATCTTTCGCTACCCAGTCTGTGTCATCACATAATTGCCATCGCGTGAAACAAAAGAAAATAAGAAATCCGGGCTTAATTGAGGTACAAATACTTCTGACCCTAGCCCCCATTGTGGGGTTTTTGTACTACATTGCTCATGGGTGTGCAAATTTAGTAAAATATATAAAATTTTATATAATTTTAAATTAATTGATTTTAAAGTTATAGTGTGTTTTATACTTGTTCAAAAAAATTTAGTGTTGTTATAACGTTCAGCCTCAATTGTGAAGTTTCTATTTCATTTCACATCAATTTTGAGTGTGCGAATTTAATAAAATATATAAAATTTTATGTAATTTCAAATTGATCAATTGATATCTTGTTGACCATATGAGATTAGAGCCTCATTGTCATATTCAAAAATCACATGATCCAACCCCATTTCCACCACTCATTGTTGCTTCCCTCTTCACACACCCCCTTGGACACAAATTAAGTCTATACATAATACATAAATATAATTTCTTCTTAAACATATATGGAAGTATATAACTTCATACTTATAACAAAATATATGAATGGGTACACACAAGTTCACTCAATTCATACATATAACAAAATATGCAAATTTATATATACATAAACAATTTTATACATATAACATGATACATTAGTTCAGACAAACACAAGTCCATATAACATGCATAAAAATATAAATATAGATAAAAATTAAATATACAAGTATAGACCTTCATGCTTACTACTTAATATGTTTATTTCCAGTATTTAACCCTTTTCTTTTTTAAATATATATAAAATACCTATCAAATAGCTCAGATACCCACAAATTTTTCATATACCCATATCCGGTGCGAACCCCTACAAAACATATTTTGTTAAACATCATGTGGGCTGCTATGATATGCCAAGGCCTAGCCCATGCACAGCTGATAAGTAGTAACACTACGGCGAACCGGTCCAGTTAATTACGAGCCCATATACGCTCCGCCCAAGAAGCTGAAACCTGAGAACTGGCTGGTGAGAGCAAGAGGAAAACGAAAATGGCGGACACACTGTACCTGCAACTCCTCAAGCTTTCCGCAATAAATTCAGAGGAAACACTCGACCAAGTCCTAACAATTCTCTGGAAGACCCGAAAAAGCGGTCTCCGATCACCGGAAAAGTCCGACATTCAGTCTCTGCTCGGCCTCCCTTCCGTCGCCGAAGTCGACCCTGTAAGCCCTTTTCTTTCTTTTCTAGGCTTTTCCCATGTCTTCTCAGTAGCCAAATAAGACCTCTCTGTTCTCCCTCTGTTTCTTCTTTAACGTTTCGAAATGCTTTTTTCCTTACTGAAATGAGTTTCAGATATAATTTTTTCTTATGTTTCTTAATTTCTTCCCTGCATTTTTCTTGGGAAACAATCAAGTTCCAATTTTTGTTTTCTAAATGAAATGGGTTTTTACTTTTTACTTAACTAGAATTTTAACTTGCATATATTCTTCTTAATTTCTTCCCTGCAATTTTTTTTAGGGAAACAAACAAACAAGTTACAATTTTTATTCTTTGAAAAAAAAAAAATTCAGTAGAACTGATCTTAAACTTGAATTTTTTCGACCAATTGTATCCTTGGGTTAAGTTGGCTTTCGCAGTTAGTGGTTTGATACATGATTGCTCCTTAACCATTTTCATCATATGAATGGGTGGTTAAAATGTGATGAATTGATAATAGGTTTTGGCATGCCTTCGTTCGCTTATTAGGAAATGTGTACGTGAGAATTGCACTGCTGATGATCTCTTGAAGCTGTTTCCGCCTGAACTGTCAATTGATTTACAGAACATCCTTGTTCAAGTGATCCAGAAATATCAGAGTCAATGGAAGGAAGAAGTATCCAGGGAGCAGGTGTTCGTTTTCAAATTTGTTTAATGATCTTGATGTGTTCTGTTCTTAACCTGATTTTAACCTAATAAGATTTGTAAATAAGTTTGGAAGCGTAACTTATGCATTACCTCATGAAGCAGAGATTAGTAGATAACTAAAGATGCATATCAAGGATTATTATGATGGTCTAAGTAGTTATTGAAATACTCAAACTGTTTGGTTTATCGTAAGTCAAGGGTTTTAAGATTTTTCATTACTAGCTTTATGACTTCATGGGCATCTTCCTTGCAATGTTGCACTAGAAGTAAAGATGAGAGCCTTTTCTTTTTCAAATAGGAAGAAATGAATGGCATTTACAACAAGAGCCTAGGTTGATAATGTAGTATGTTCTGATTGATAGTTTTAAAATGTTCAGACAATATCAATGCATAGTTGCTCATGCATAATGGAGTAAGAGTTTTTTTATCACTAGATTCTCATTTACATGTTCTGCTGGCATTTATCTTATTCAGCAACCATTTCCAAGAAGTACTCCTCCATCTTTTACACCTTGGCTATCTTCTAGTACTTCAACGTCCATTCAGCCTTATGAAGATGACACAGTTGCATGCAATGATCCCAACAATTTTGGGGCTTCTGCATTAATGGTTGCTGATGATCCTGCTGGATCATGTATGGCCCTCATGTCTGTCCAACCTGATCTTGATCCTCCTGACAATCTGGTATATAGATATTGTTAATTTCTTATATCTCTTATTTGATTAAATGTAAGAGTAAATTAGATTTTTTGCTATGGCATATGTACTAAGCCTTCATTTGTGGCTGGGTAAGGAAGAGAAAAAGAGAGTGGAGAGAGAACCAAATTGATGAGCATGCTCATGTGTCATATCATTCAAAATGAGGTTGCTTAGATTTTGGGAAAAAGTAAATCAGATTAAAATGGGATGTTGGACTTAATATTTGATTGGCTTGTTAAAAATATATTTGAATATTATGAACAAGCTCCAACCATCCAATTAAAAGGAATGAAAAAGTAATCCAAATCATAAAATTTTAAAAGTTGCTGGTAAAGTTTTGTATATTTTCTTCTATCATTCTACAGAAATAGGAATTAATTTCCTTCATGTTTGATGTTTCGAAAAAATTTTCCCTGTTTTCATGCACATCATATGAATGTGACAAAATGTCACTTTTTTTGGTGGCTTAGACTCACAGTTATCATCAGGTGCCAAATTTGATGCAACTTTTAAAGTACACTTTTGGAGTCATAAATTCAAGATTAGAGATTACTCCTTGATTGAGATTAACTAGGGCATGGTTGCCTTCATATTGCTAAAATAATGCATTTCTAAACTTGAAGGTCTGCTGCATGATGTAGATTACTTCACATATCATATCTTGGTAAATTAGATAGCCTGTTGCTTTCTCAATTTACTTTGTTAATTTGATATATAGAGCTTTTTTCTTTTACCTTTGAGTTATAGGCAATTATACCACTCCTCAAATCAATGACATGGACTATGGAGAATCTCAATTCAGAACCAGCTAATAAAGTGGCTATTATCCATCTTAAGGTATGTATTTGATGGGTGACATAAGTGGTCCTGTCTCCTCTCCTGGTTGGTTCTGTCAGTCTTATTGTCATCCAGCTGGTACAATGATGCCTTTTTTTCTGTCCCATAACCTATGTTTATGTGATTTTTATTGTAAGCAATAGAGGATGTTGTCCAAGTTTTAGATTATTAAGAAGATCTCTCTAAATCATGATTCTACATATGCTCAAAGCATCGTTGTAAAAGCAACTGCTTTGTATGTGGCTTAAATTCTCTCACTTGAATCCTTATCTGCGATTAGTGGTCAGTTCTAGGCTAACTGATTGAGCTGGTAATGAAACCTTGATACAGTGCTCCCAATGACCAGACATTTTTCTCAGAAATGCTCCTGATCTGTTAATTTAAATGTTTTAGAGCATTCTCAGTTGATTGAATAAGTTTGGGGGAAGAGTTTGTGGATGTGATCTCTTAGGCCTTGGTGTTAGTTCTTTAAAAAAAGTCATCCTAGAGTGTGTCATGTGGTGCTCACATATCTTTGTAGGCTTGGAAGTACAGTCTTTAACTCTTGTTTGGTATGTTCCTGGGCTTGAATTACTCAAACCATAAGTTTATTGATCATCACTTAGTCAATGAGAATTTTGATAGCATTCTCTTCCAATGAACTTGCTACTTTCCAAATTTTCCTTTTCTTTGTTCAAATCATGCTAATTATTCTCTTCTCTCAACATGCTTGCAGCTGGAAGATTGCAGCAAGTTACCTGCAGGAGAGAAAGAGGTGAAATTTCGGCTTACCAATGACATGCTTGAAGTAATGTTGAACTCATTGGCTTACATCAGTGAAAAACTCTCAAGCAGGGTAAGTATGCTTCTCAATACTTTTGGTGGCCATAAAGATCTGGAAACTAAGAATCTCAGTTTTAGGTGTTCTCCAAGGTTATCATGTGCCTCAAAAGCCTTTACAAACTAAATGTCCATTGTCATTTTGAATTGCTGGTTTAAAACCACAAGTTTCCCTTTTCCCCTTTCCCCAAATTTAACACTAAAGCTAAAGTAATGATTAATGTATTGGCAAATAGGAAATTTAAGAAAGATTTTCTAATACTTCATTTCAGTTCTCTGTCTTCCATATCCCAGTGAAATTGGGTTTACTTAGAGCGGAATCTAGAACATTACTTTGAGTATAACCTCATGTTGGTACGAGTATAACATGTTGGCTGTGATTACGAAAAAAAAAGAGAAAGATAAGGCAGAAAATTTGTTCATTGGTATCCTGCAACAGCTCTATTTTCTTTTCATTATTGATAAAGAAGGTATATAGCTCAGAATTCTTACTGCACGTTTGTTAGTTTTGTAGGCTGAGACTTCTTCAGAGCCAGTGCAGAAGAAACAGAGGCAATAGTAGTATTGATTATTATTTTCTTTTTCTCCATTTATAAATTCCTTGTCATAGTTATCAGAAAATAAAGCGCCAAAGTCAGCCTAGGAATGCATGTTGGCATATATCTCTGTATATTTCATTTCAATGTGATCAACGAACCATATATCTCATTATGAAAATTTTGATTCACATACTTCCAAAGATGTTTGTTCTTTGTTCTATTGATTTTTTCGGTCAAATAGATTTATGTGGTACTGGTAAAGAACCTAACATTTATTTTTTTTATGATATGGCCGGCTGCCGACCTGGAGACTAGAGGTATAAACCAAATATTGAAAGCTTGGTCGGCTGCCGTGCCAAAAAGAGACCTTCCGCCTGCTGATCTGATCACAAGGGTCATGGCAAAGATGAGCTTTACTCGTTCTTGTGCTTTTTCAGGCTCGATAGGTTTTTCTAGTTTTCCTTCCTATCCCTAATCATTTTGTTATGTAATTTCAGGTGTGATCATGGCTACTCACCAATTTGTGTGTGTGTTTTTTTTTCTTGGTATTTACTAAAAGGGTGTCTCCATGACAACTTAATTTTTCTTTAGTGCTAACCTTAAAATTTGAATGTTAGATTTATTTTATAAAATAATACTTATTAATAGATTTAACTTTTGAAGTTTCACCCATTAATTTGTTAAACTCACACAAATTGTCTAATTTTTATCTTAATTTAATTATTAAGAGCAGTTAATAACTCATAAATTAGTTAATATTTATTATTTATCAAATTAAAATCAATTTATTAACAAATATTCAAATATCATAATTAACTGTTTAAAAAATTTATAAATTGATAAGATATAAAAAAACTGTGTAGCTATAACAAATTACTCTCTGGCCATAGCCACACCCCATAATTTCATGGTATTGTATAGTAGAAAAATGAAGCAGATTCTGAAAATGTGGGGAAGAATGTAGTAGAACCAATCAACCAACGGCAAACTTATATCATTAATCAATTACTACAAACAAAACGTAATTTACAATATGCGACCATGCAAAGTATCATAAACAATCTTTCTCACAAGAAATCTCTCAAAACCATCTCTCTCTGGAAAGGCATGAAGAAAAAAGAAAACAGGAATTCACACTTCAAGAAATTCAATCCAAAAAACTCATTCTTGAAGAATTCAACTAATGAATCAAACTCAGCAGAAAATGAATACCATATATCAAAAACATGATGAACCGAACTAAAAAAACCCAAAAATGTAATACTGCCAGGAAAAACCCAAACTGCCAAACCTTTATACTTTTTGAACTCTAACTTTTTACCCGAAGTAACACTAGGGTATGATCCCGGCTAGAACTCAAACAAAGGCTTTGGTTCGTTACCTTTAGCTGAATATGCTTGAACTTCATTCTTCTGATGCTTCTGCATGTCTGTGTTTTAGTTCATCAGCAGCATTCCCACTACATAATTGAACGCTAGATTCTTCACTAGTGGATTTAATATCTTTCATGAGAACCACATGATGGCTGCCACCTTCATAATCGCCAGACTCAATCTCAGTATTCTTGCTACTTACTTGAACTCTAGATTCTCCGCTACTAGATTCAATCTCTTTAGTCGGAACCACAGCATGGTTACCATCTTCTCCAACACCAGATTCAATCTCAGCATTCTTCCGACTTCCTTGAGCACTAGATTCTTCACTTCTAGATTCAATCTCTTGAGAGGGAACCACATCATGGCTGCCACATTCTTGATCACCAGATTCAATCCCTTTGGCAGAAGACACATCATGGCTCCAGATATTTTCTTGAATATTGGATTCCACATTACTAGATTCAACCTCTTTGGTAGAAACCAAATCACGGGTTTCTACCTTTATTGAGTCATCCTTAGACTCAAATGGATTTAGCATCTTACTCAGACTAAATTCTGAGACTTGTTGCAAGGCAACATGTATATCCTCCAGAGATCTTGCTTCAAGGACTGGTAATTGTGATTTGCTATCAGCAAAATCCTTGAATTCCTCGATCATACTTGGAAGAATTACTTCCTCTACATCTACTCCTTCATGCAGTTGTTTAAATGCCATATCAATATCTTCAACTGACCTTGCTTCAAGAACCGGTAGCTCCAAAGTATTTTCTTTCTTCATATCATTTGGTGACAGTGCAAATTCTGTGTCCTCAATGATTGTTTCCTCTGGAAAAACTTCCTTGACATTAAAGTCCCCAACTGCATCCAATTCTGACAGTATGCCTTCATCAATCTCTTTAATCACATCTTCCTCCTCATTTACATTTCCATCAGTGACATCTGACCCGTAGACCTCTGTTGGATAATCTAAATGCCCAGATACTTCTTTGTGGTCCTCATATGCAATTTCATCAGGGATGCTGCCTTTCAATTCTTCTTTATCAGTACCTTTAGGACTCTCAGATGGACCAGGGATGGAAATGGAATGAGAAGGAGAAGAATTTTCTGAAATTTGATCCTCAAAATCATTAACTTCATTAACATTGTCAACAATCTTTACTTCCTCCTTGGACTCCACCACCAAGGGAAATGGTTCCTGAATCAAAACAATCAATTCAAAATAAGCATGGGATGGTAGAAGATCATTCAAGAATTTGAAACAATAACTAATAATGTTATTCTTTAGTGATAACGAAAACCTGAACTACAAAAAAAAAAAGTTGGAGGGCAATAAATATTTTAAACAATTCAAAGTACAATATTTGCATGACATACCTGGTGTTCATCATGAACAGAAAAGGATAGTTCACCAATAGATTTATCTGACCAAGCTAAACAATTTTCTTCAGAAGGACCAGCTTGGTGGCTAGAATCAGAAGGAACCACTTTCACATCCATATCATGGTGGAGATCAGCATCCATCTTTGAATCAGAACTTGACAACTCAACTTGATCCATTTGAAATACAGCTTCTGAAGAAGAGAAATTTGCATAAACTTGTGAATCATTCTCAGACAAAAATGGAGGCTGCTGATCCTCTGATGCAGATAAAATCAAATCAGTGCAAAGCATACGTTGACAACGTGAATCTACAAAAGATAATTCCTTACCTTTCTCATGGTTCGCATCAACTTGGATATCTGCATCAGAACTTGATGAACGGATTTGATCTGGTTCAATTTGGACACTGTCTTCTTTATGTGTCATAATGCCTTCCTCCACTGAGCCACCATCTGACATACTTGATGAGTGAATTTCGCCTAGCTCAAGCTGAGTTTCTTGCACTTTTACAGGTTCAAGAATGCCTTCCTCCACTGTGCCATCATCTGACATACTTGATGAGTGAATTTCACCTAGCTCAAGCTGAGTTTCTTGCACTTTTACAGGTTCAATAATGCCTTCCTCCACTGTGCCA